GTCACAAGAGTCTATTGACAGTTCCATTTCGTTACAATTTGTAACTGTAAGATACATCATACGTTTACTTACCACATTCTACTAAACACAAGTCTTGTGCCAAGTCGTGCGCAGGAAACAAACGCACTTGTCTGTTGCAAGTCTGCCGAAAATCTGTTGTAATTGACCGTAAGATGAGGATGCATTCGACTTCTGCAATCTACTAAACAAAAGTGTTGTTGAATTCGTCTGCAAGAAGCCATCGCACTTGTCTCCCGCAAGTCTGCTGCAAGTAGTCATAGGGTACGATGTTTATCTTTTCTACTCTACTGAATGCAAATCTTGTGCAAGTCGTGCGCAAGAAATAAACACACTTATCTGCCGCAAGTCTGCCAAAAATCTGTTGTACAAGATTAAAGTGCATTCGACTTCTGCATTTTACTAAATGGAAATCTTGTGCAACTCTTTCACAAGAAGCCATCGTACTCGTCTGCCGAAAGTCTTCCGCACATCTGCGGAAGCAAACACTACGTAAGTCTTTCGAAAGTTCTTCAACAACAGAAACTTTGCATAAGAATTACTAGAAACTTGTGTTTATGATGCTACCAGGGTCAATGTATCACTATGGAATTTGAAAGAGTAACTTGCTCCGAAGCATATTGTTTTATATGTGGACAATGACATAACATTATAGACGTACATTGAAGTTCGTCTTTAAGTTTTTGTAAAAAGAAGCTTATTTATTCTAAAAAGAAATCGATGTTGTCTTAGACACTTAACAAAAAATCGATTCTACGAGGATCAGACATTGATGATAGTATATGCGATAGTACATAAATGAATTTAAAATTGAATATATAGAAGTAAAACAGTTTATTCAGCAATTTTCAGATCTATTCAATGCTGTATTCCGCGATAAAATTGGCTCCCATAAAATATCAGAAGAATGTATCAAGGCTTCCACAGAGCCCTTATTCAGTATTTTTAACGCGAGCGTTATTCATAAAATAATGCTTTTGTGCATGGGCAGAAACTAATTCTCAACAAAAGTTAAGTAACGCTTATGCGCAGAAGCGTTATTTCGTAAATAACGCTCACGTAAAAAATACTGAATAAGGGCCCTGGGCCTGGCCATTCATGGGATGACATCACTCTCTTTCAAACTAAGTTAACGTTAATGAGACCATCTGCAAACAGAAATATAACTCAAGCCCTCGTAATATTTTTATTGAAATCGGGATCACGAAAATTGAATGCCTTAATATTTGCAATTCTAAAAGTAACCCAGAAAATCGTAGAAAATTCCATACAATTCATTCTTAAATGCTTGCGACAATGTTTGCTTCCAGAAAATTTTGGAACTGCTTCCTATTTAAGAGACTTTTATTTACAGTGACAAGCCAAAGCAGTTAAACTAATGTTTAACTGTAATGATAAATTGTATATGATTTGTGACGAAACCTACTTAACACATAATAAAAAGTGCAAATAATACTTACCAATGAAAAGCTTATTCTGGACAAAAAAAAGTGCCATTATGTAAGCTCTTTACCATCTGTACCAAAAGTAGTTACGTTATCGATCTTGTTGGACCATTTGAATCCTAATGATGCAAAAATTCTTGAGCCCCTACTTCAAAATGAAAATGGGCTCCGAAGTATTTTAAAGGAAGGTGACGTATTTATTTTAGATCATGGTTTCAAAGCAAATGGCTTTACGGTGTTTATACCTGCATTGAAAGGAAAAAATAAACAGGTTTCTACGGAACAATCTAATATATTAAGATATGTTACCAACTTAGGAGTGGCGTTGGCTCAGTGGTAAGTGTGCTTGTTACTGACACAACGCAGTTCTAGGGGACGTGGGTTCGATTCCGGGTGAATGCAGATTTTTTCAAAAACTGTTTTCATCGGGAAAAGTTCCTATGAAACCCCGGCTGTTTCGGGGCGGGTTTTCCCGTGGAATTTTCCTTTAGAGTAATTCCAGGGTTTTTTCCTTGCCCCACAGGTCTTCGGGTCTGGGTAAATGCGAAACAGTGTTAGGGCTATAGGTAGGGATTAGCGGACCCGATGCCAGGCGTCGGGCAGGGATCGCTGGCCTTACCGGCGAGGAGTGGCCCCTGAAACAACGGGGCTTCTCTGGGGATGCTAATTAGCCTGGATCCGATGCTTCGGCAGAGAGCGCCGGCTTAACCGGCGAGGAGTGGACGTCCTGGAATAATGGAGTCTTCTCCGGGGAAAGGCTACACAGTGGTGAGTGGACCCGATGCACCATCGGTGCAGAGAGTGTCAGCTTAACTGGCAAGGTGTTCCACCGGAGATACTCACACTGTGCCCATGGATTCAGGTAGGAGGCGAGGAAAAAGGTTTAGAGATGGGTGGGGCAATACACCCCCACACATAGGTGGTGAGTGGGTGGCCCCCGCGACTAGGCCTAGTAGGCTGTTGTGGTAACCCGGTATAAAAAAAAAAAAAAAAAAAAAAAAAAAAATGTTACCAACTTTCGTTGAGTTGTAGAAAGTCTTCATGGAATCATCCACCAAAAATACAAACTTTTGAACCACCAGTTCCGAAACCAAGCTCTACTTGATGCTGAGATATATTGTAAAGCCGCATGTTACATTTATAATTTTACGGGAAAACCACTAAATTAAAATGATGGCAATTTGGAATAAATTGTCGAAAGAATGCAATCCCATTAAAGTGTAGAAAATTATTTGGCTAAAAGAGTCTTGGATAAAAATTATGACCAGAAATCAGTACCGTCTAAAAAAGTTTCATCGACTGATTTACTAGATTTTCCAGAATTAATATTACAGGAACTGATAATTTTTTTACTGACTCTTATCAACTGCAACAGTGTATATCATATGTAGGGGAAATGCTTAAAGATGAAAATCATCTTTCAGTAAGTTTTTTAAAAAAAGATCCAAAAATTGTGAGATGTGCAGTAAGATCAAGGCATATTAACAGCATAATATATAAATGTTTCGTTCTCTACTTCCTTAAAAGTGAAGGGATAACTGCTCTTAAAGGATATTGTTGTCACTGTGCTAATAGTCTATGAACAATTGACAGTTGTTCCTATGTTGCAGCACTATTATATCATTTATCTCACGGTAGGTATTTATCTGATGTAATTCGACCTGCAGATGTGCTTAGTAAACCTTTTTGACTTTGATAATGTATGTCCTGTAATCGATCAAGATAGTAAAGAAGATTAAAAATATGTAAAGATAAAACAAGTACGTATATTATCTACTCATAAATTACTTATATACAATTTTGTTAGAAATTACGTACTTGAAAACCTGCGCTTATTTATTGCAGCTCTAACTAAAGCAAGCTAAGTAGAAAGTACCTAGAGGAAAATCCTATCTATATAGAAAATATCCTGGCCTTCTACAATGCTTTGCAAATATTTGTTTTTAAAATAGAAAAAGTTGAAAATTGTGGTGTTCCAAATGTGAATCCAGTTAATGACAAAGGCAATTAAAGTTTGAACACTGTTTATATAGCTATTGGCAAAGATTCTCTGTAAAAAATATCTAACGCACTGTCCTTAGGACCCCTTCATGGTGGTGTTAAAGTCTATGAAATGTGTATTTTAACTGCAAGAAAAAGGTAATTAAAATAACAACCAAAAAAGTCAAGGAGATTCAAAAATATTTTTTTCATGCCGAAAATCGCTGTTTGAAGATTTCTCGCATTTTCTGACATAGCGCACCACTGGAAAAAATATAAAAAAAATACAAGTGTGTATTTTTTTCCGTTCTACAAGGTGGTGCACTGATAGTGACCGTTCCAAAAAGGCAACATGCTTAAAGTTGCGTTTAAAAGTCAAAATAGTTTTTTTTAAGGTTATGATGACTTCAAATGACGTTTAAAAAAATTTCACATAAGAGTCATAATATTTTCTATAGCCCTTAATTTTTTCACACTTTTTCACTAACTAAAAGCTGAGATAAAATATAAACGCAAAAACCAAGGTTTTTGGGTTCCAAGGGCCAAAAAAAAATTTCGAGACTTCGGACTATTTTTCCAATTTTCTTGTACATGAATAAACATCTTAGCAGGATTTTAAAAAATTGAGAGCAACAGACCCTTATTAACAGGTTTTTAGTTCTTATTTTCAGAATACTGAATTCATGAGTTTGAGAGCCTACAGCACTGTCCATTAATAGTAAAAAAATTTGAAAAGACTTTTGCTGTGCACTAAACTTTTGTAAAATCATCTAACTATTAAGTGTAACTAGTCACATTTTATTATATATATATAGGAAGTAACTGTAACCATACCGAGTTATAATTTGTAGCTACAAAAGGCAAGCCAAACCCCATGCTGCCCTAGTAATTTTTTGATACTCTATCTGCACCAAAATTAAGTTGCGTGATTTGAGAGAGCATTTTCCGTAAAAACGTTGCATTCATCCGATTTTGGTTCCACAAGTTAAACAGCATTTAAGTCCAAAATGTAATTTTTGTGCTACTCTTTAATGCATGAAAAAATTATTTGTGTTAAAAACTTTTAAATTAACTGACACGAAAAAAACTAAAAATCTGTATTTTTCGTTCCAGATTCTCATGTAGAGGTTATACAATAAAGAAATTTGTTTACTTTTTTCCCGTTGTTTAGGCTAAAAAAGAAATTAAGACTTAACGTCAGTAGAAACGTTTAATTTTTTTTACATTGTAATCAAAAACAAAACTGCTGTTAGCAAATAGATAAAGAATGAAGTATTTCCTTCTAAATGAATATATAAAATATTAAAAACCAGTGCAGATCTGCATTCTAAACATTTAGAGAATTAAACTCATATATAGTCACAGAGAAAGTAACTTAGTTTAATATTATTTTTCTGGAAGTATAGAGGGCTTGTAGCGTACAGTGGGGGATGATTGGTACTTGAGAGGAAACGTTTAAGCACACCCATTGAAGCAACTTCATAATGTAGAATAGAAAGATATAAGCTCATAAAATTATTTTATACACTTTTTTATTATAGACACATATTTTTACAGAGACTAGGTGTACCAATAGGAGGATGGTCTCGAATACAACTTAATTTAGAAGTGCGTAAGGCTGATGCAGTCCCGTTTATTGGTCACATTAAAGATGGAACAGTACTACCAATTTTATGGATCGAAGTTGGAATCAACAAAATACCTAAATCAGCAATGAACATCCTCTACCATGCGTATTATACATTAAACGCAGTAGAGACATGTTTACAGATCGGAAGTTTAACTGGCCTCCTGATTATAACTGTATCATTATTCATTATTTTATATAAACATTAGACTAAGATCACCATAAGCAATTAAATAATAAACTTACATGAAGTCCAAACATTTTAATGGGAAAGATCACTACTAAGCACTATTCGTATAACTAAGAAATAAGCACAATAATAAAAATATTCATAGATACATCGTAACTCTTGTATCTTTTCCCATAATAGAAAAACTTTCTGCAATATAATAATTTTTTTGATGTAAATGACTGTAATACTTTTTTTTTTAGAATACAAAAATACTTTTTTCTACTTACATCAAGTCTTAAGTTACGAAAGATTTTGCTATAAAATTCTGCTTGCAAGTGACATTTTGTTTTTGATAACTTAATTTTTTGTTACAGAGGAAGGAATTAAAAAAAAAATACAATAATGAAAGGTAAATGTCCCAAATACATACAAAAACAAATTAAAAGATAGAAATAGAATTACAATGTTAGGTTAGTTGGAACTCAGAGACGTAAGAGTAAAAATAAAAGATAGATAGACATTTGGAAATCTCAACTATAAATAATAAAACATACATATCGTAGGACAGGTAAACAAGAAAATAAATAACATGATGAAAATACAGGACAAAACAAACACAAAGCACAGATTGATATCAGGAGTTAAAACAAAAGAAAATTCCTCGAGTTTGAAATCAAGAACACATGTGAATATTAAAATATCGAATGATATAAAACTTTTAAGTAAAACACAGTATAACATTTAATTTTGAATCCAAAGAATTTTAAACAATACCTACAGTATTATTATTTTAATTTAACTATCGATGCGAGAAAAAATGAAAACGAAGCCTCATTAATAAAGAAATAGAATAATATGGTAAAACTGTGCAATTACTGGGTTGCCACAAAAAAAGTCTCAAATCTTATGGTATGGTTGGTAAGATGAAGAGATAAACACCTAGAGATTAAGCAGACTATAGCCAAAGATCAACAAATACTAAGGTTGTTTTAAATGATCTTAAATTTAATCTTAAGCCTTCCAGTCATGGGAAAATTTTTCGGCAGTACTAAGTTAAGTTAATCAAATTTAGTACTCTAACAAATCTTGATATAGAAAAACAATACCACACACTGCACACATTAAAAATTTTTTTCTTTTTTATCAAACAAAACGAAGCCCTTATCTTTTCTCCTGTATGCGGTCTCGATAAACAGAATTCCAATACTACGTATAATGGTATGGTTGTAACTTATTCCTAATGTAAATACTTATTTACTGTTTAGTTGTTAGTATATTGTAGTTTATAAATTCATTACTCGTTGAATAAGCTATTTTTTTTAATTGAAATTTTTTTTTAACTAAGAAATTAATACATTGCAGCAGAGCAGCTTTCTTATGCATTAATCAATATTTATTAATTTATCATTAATTTATTACTTTTACAATAAACAAACAATTTCATATACAGTTATTTTATATTCCTTCAAAATTTCCAAATTAAAAAATCTTTTTTTGTATAGTTTCATTGCGTTGTATTCGTTCGTAATCATTCTATTCGTGAGTTAGCTGATTTTTTAAAACTTAAAGACGTTTATCAGTTAACGGGGAACAAGTTCAGAGAGGTGAAAGGAGCAAGTATATGCAGCAACTCTGGCTATTCTTTTTCTCGTATAGATATACTTGCAGATACGCTTTTACGTGTGTGCAACCGCTTCTTTGTTGTGTTATTAAAATAGAAACTTGTAGATGTATTTGAAAATTGCAAAGGTTTATTTAACAGTAATCTCTTATACAAACAAACACTGTGAGATTCCTACAGATCATGTAAATACAATTTTACTTGATTTTTCCATGAGGTTAAGTGTTAAATTGCGATTTCTTAAAATCAAACATAAAAAAAGTGTATGATTAAAAGATTAACCATTTTTTAAAGGATTTTTTACGTTATTTCAAATATACGTTTGATGATTGAATAATATCTGTTAAAAAGACCTATGTGTGCTGAACGTTCTAAAGGGACATTCAGTGGTATGTAAGTACTACATTATAAAAGAAACTGGTGTACTACAGTATGGTTTTTCTTAACTATTTGGATTCAAATATATTTTGGTATTAAATATGGACTAGGAATAAGTGTGTGAGCTTATATGTGACAGATATGGGTAGCTTACATATTGTTTGTATAGTACTGTGTTATAATACATTGTTTAAAATCGTTTATTCATTAAATATTAAAATATTTATGGAAACTACACCCACATAGCGGATGTTTACTCATTCTAACTATAATACTCTAATCTACATTCGTATGTAATATCGTTTTATAGAAGATATTTTTGTACTCATAATTGTATTGTATGCTGTATAATTTGATAGCAGTATAACTTCATACGCGTGTACCCAAGTCCCGTGGTTTTCTTATTTAAAAATAGATTTTTTTTTGTAATTTATTATTTTAATAATTTTTATAAATTAATTTCTAAGTCCAAAAAAAAAAAAATCAATATTTAAAATTTTTTTAAATACGTATAACACTATTAGTGACAAGAAATCTTCACAGATGTGAGTTGGGCATAGGAATCACCTGATTAATCATCTGGTTTCCAAAAGGAGAGAATGGTCTCTATTTCTAGATAAATGATTAGCTAACAATGAAAATTTAACGATTTTCATCTGGTGTTATCTTACTACGCCAACGACGATTACACAATTACCTAACCCGGCAATGCAGAATCCAACAGGACCCGTACTAGGACCTGCAATGGCTGTGGAATATCTTACTATAGTATACAGTTGTTTCATGTGGAGCAGTCACAATTCCCCCCACGCCTCCCACGCCCTCCACGGCCTCTCACAAAAAAAACTTTGTTATAAATAGCTCCCCCACAAAATAAGGTAAAATTCGATCGTCTTATACGTAATTTTGACATAGTTAAAAATATGCTAGCCCCACATTCAGCCCCCCACGCCCCTCCACACCCCCTATAGGTTTTTTCAGGCCCCCTACAGCTCCCCCACAGCCGCCCTCACACTTTTTTAACGTGCTAAGCAATGGCCCCCACAAAATAAGGTTAAACTTGTTCATTTTATACGTGATTTTGACGTAGCGGAAAAATTTGATAGTCCCATATTTAGTTCCCCCCTGCCCCCTAACATCATTACTACGTATCATGCATCGTTATCAGTCTATTTTTCCAGGCCACCTATGAGGCAAATAGACTCACTTTACACTTGAAAAATATTTGTGCAGAAAATTCTATCAGTTAACAATTCATCGTGTAAGTTATCTTAACTTGTTAAATTCAATTCACTTATGTAGAATGCGTATAAATATATTTTTATTTACGAACTGTAAGACTTAATAGGTTATATTTAATAAATATAAAGTGTAGGTCACGTTATATTTTTTTTTCGTTTATATTATTTTAGTACTATGTAATTTCCAATAATCAAAGCGTATAATTTCATGATATGATAAAAATAAATGCATCATCCAAAAACTTACATAATAACATTAATAATGTAAACCGTGGAAGTTCGCCTAATGTCAAAGGATTTTTCACTAAAATTTTCAAAAAATGATACATTTCTTAAGGCCGCGATCACATAGGGCGGAAAAAGCTAGTGGAACTTTACAGCGTCAGAGATAGAAGTTAATTTCCCTACAACTATTTTCATTCGTTGCAGGAATCTCTTTTTTCTAACGTTATCTATCAAGGGCGGTACCATATAACTTTTTTTGCTTTGTGGCCCTATGTTATCATAACATTGGCTGGTGTACTAAAAAATAGTTACATGATAGGGCCCCAGTATCATGTAAATGGGATTCTGTGCATGAGAATAATTTCAGCACACGTTCATTACACCTACTGCTCTACACCTTTGCAGCGGAGAAAACGGTGTACAGGTATATAAATACCCTTCTTTGTTACATCCTTACTAAAGGCTGCGGTTATATAGGGCAAAAACAGCCAGTGAAACGACAAAAATCTGCTAGAGTGTTGCTGGTCTTCATCCTCACAGCGAACACCTATAGCTATGCGCTTGATATGCCAATCCAGAGGAAGCCATCGTAAACAAATAAGCTAGCGATACTAGAGAGAACGACGACGTCCAATGGACAACAACCACAGTGTTATTCTCCCTCTCCTTTCTACTGCACTGCCACGAAACGAATACCGTATAACATAGCATTTACTTAATAAAATGTGTGTCCTTTCTCTCTCTCTCTCTCTCTCTCTCTCTCTCTCTCTCTCTCTCTCTCTCTCTGTGTGTGTGTGTGTGTGTGTGTGTGTGTGTGTGTGTAAGCATGTATATATATACATACTGCTTTTGATGCTTGTCCATCTTTCTTTTGCTCAGGCATACAAAGCCCTAGTACTGCAGTCCAATAAAAAACCAATGAAAAAAAAATTTCATAAGACTGTGATGTGCGTTTGAACCCATAATTCCATATAAAATCCATAGAAAATCAAAGATTTATTTGTGTTTATGGGAAATAGGTTACAATTAATTAATGTAATTTTATGATGATATACTAATATTTAATAAATAAGAAATGTAGCTGTATACATAACAAGCGACTTTTATAGAAGTTTATGGGAAACACATCAGCATTTATAAAATACTAATAGATTGTATTGGATTTTATTCGACTGGAAAATAAGACAGGACACTGAATTATTACTTTTATAAGAGTCTACTGGAGAAGCCCAGTAAGAATTATAATCACCTTTATTGGTCATAGTAGGATTTGGTTACATCATTTAAATCATGTTTTTATTGCGGCTTTTAGGCTAATTTAATTTAACAATTTTTATAGGACAGTAATATCATTATAACAAACTATGAAGAAGTGAAACAATGATTTATTGGTGTTTACGGGAAATACCTTACAATTTATCAATGTGATTTTATGATGCTATGCAAATATTTAATAAATAAGAAATGTAGCTGTATACACAACAAGTGACTTTATTTGGAGTTTATGGAAAATATATCAGCATTTATCGAGAGTTAAATAAGCCTGTACTATACAGTATCCTATAAGCTTTATCCATCAAATGAATGGTCGTGGAGATCACTACATAATGGATTCTTATTGGGCTTTGTAGATGTATCTAAAATCTAAAACTTCTGCTTTAAAATTCATCTTTGTATTGGAATTTACAAGAAAAATCCGAACACGGCACGATACTTTTGTGGAAATATTTTTTTTCATTATACATAGCAGCGATTTAAAGCATTGGTAT